CCCGCTCCCCAGGCTGGCTTCCTGGAGGAAGCAGAGTCCCTGGCAGCGCGAGGGCAGCTTTCCAGTGGGACAGAGGAGACAGGCTGGAGGGCTAAGAACGGACTCGGAAAGGGAGGGACCGGCCTGGAAGTCAGGACAAAGGTCCTGTGTAGACCCTGACTGAGGGGACACGGGCTGGGGAGGCCAACGCAGCGAAGACCGAACGTCCTCCAAGGGAAGCACCTCCAGGGCAAGGGAGGCCTGGAGGGCGAGAGGAGGACAGCGGCAGGACAGAGCCAAAGAGGCCGCCGGCTCGGCAAACACGCCACAATGTCGCTGTCCTAGACCAGGGAGGGGCAGGAGGAACGGCGCGGCTCCCGCAGGGACGGGAGGTGCGCAGACCTTGGCGCTGGCAGTGCTGTCTGGCCATGTGCGCCTTCATGCTGTGCTTGGAGCGGAAGAGCCTGTTGCAGCTGGGACAGCAGCTTTTGGGAGCTTCAGCGGCCTGCTCGTGCTTCTTGGAGTGCATGTACAGACTGCTGCGGGCGGAGAAGCGGGCGCGGCACCCTGGAACAGAGAGAGCCATGTGGTTCAGCGCAGGGGCCCGTGACAGACGACGCCCGCTCGCCAGGTTGGGATCACACACCGGCCACCCGCAGGGACACAGGCCACACGTCCCCAGCAGCGGCATCGCGAGGAATCGAAGTCAAAGCAAACTGTCTCTAAAAGGCAAGAGACGGAGTGAAACCGTTAAGGAGACCCGAAGTCCTGCCACGGCCACGTCAAGGCCGCGTGACCTCGGACCAGCTAGGCCTCCTTTTTCCCTTCTGTAGGATGGGAGCAACAGCAGCCTCACAGGGACGTCGCGAGGGCCGAATACGGCGACGGCGGCCTGCGGCGCACGGCACAGGGCCGAGGCATCTCCGCGCCGTGCGACGCCCGCGGGACAGGCAGGCAGAGCTGCCGGAGCCCAGCTTGAGGCCACAAAGGTGAGATCCGGCCGGATGAGGAAGGGCCTCGGCGGCCTCTGAACGCGGATTTGAACCACATTTCTCACTTTCAAACAGAGCTGCGAATCCGTCCCCAGGCCAGCTCCCCAAAGAGCATCCCGGCAACACAACGGGGGGTCAGACGCCCCCAGGCCTGCCCGAGACTGCGAGCTGCCCGCACGCGCCGTGCTCACCCGGTGCAGGGGCTGCCCTGGGACCCCCCCCGCTACTTTCCAGCCGGGTCTGCTCAGCACAGATTTCCAGGGACGGATCGCAGAGCAGAGGCTCCGAGATGCACCTTCTATCACCTGCCTTCCCCATGGCCGGGCCGCCCGCGCGGGACCCCGACCCCTCTCTTGACCCCTCTCTGGCCCGCAGGGAGCTTCCACTTCCAAAAGTCTTTGCTAATTCCACGGACGACACAATCTATTTAATGTTAGTCTGCGATGCCTCCGACAACCAGGAGCACGACCACGTCTCCGCGTGCATTCGCTCTCGGCTTTTCCCGGCCGTGCCATTACCTGGAGACCTGCGCCTGTTCTCTGAGCCCCGCCCAGGACGGACTCGTCTGCACATCTGTCCGCGGGAGGACGGCCAGGCGCTCGCACGGCAGACACACAGCAGCCTGGACCCGGCGGGAAGGCCCGGCGACATCTGGGACACGGGCACCCTCGGGTCCCCGTCACGTACGTGCCGTCCTCAGCTCCCGCCTCAGACCACCCCGGCCGACGCCCCGCGCCGCCCCGCTCACGAGCACGCACCGCCCGCACCCCGTCCTCGCTTTCCCCTCCTGTTACCGTGGAAAAGGTGGGCAGGTGTTTGTTTTACGTTTTATTACGAAACATCTCAAACACCCACCAACGTGGAGAAGACGGTGCAGTTGGCCCACACGCCTGACACCCGGCCCCAAGCGCTACCAGCTCTCGGTTCCCCGTAGGAGGGGGTCTGGGTCCCTCCGCCAGGCCCCGCCCCCACCGCCACCTGCTGTGCAGAGCCCGTGCTCGACCGGCCACCCGGCCACCGCCAGGTCAACCGGCCACCGCCAGGTCGCCAGCCTCTCTCTGCCCACCCGACAGCTGGACCTGCTCCAAGCTCCCCCCACAGCCAGCTCCGGGCCTTCCCTCAGTCGCCTCCAGGAGAAGCGTCAGCACGAACCGTCCCTGCCTCCTGCTGGGCGACTACCCCTCGGGGCCCCAGGGCCTGCTCCGCCCAAGCTCCGCGGCGGAGCCTCGCCCAGCTTCGTCCCCCGGCCTGGGTGTCCCCAGCACTCTGCACACGGCCCCTCTCGGCGCAGGCCCTCCCACTCCTCCGCCTGCGTCTGCGGCAGCCCCTGGGCGCCGTCCGAGGCCTTTTTTTAATGTGACGGCAACCACAACAACGGTGACTGACACGCGTTGACGTTTCCCGCGCGCTTTCAGCTGATTAGCTCATCGAGCCTCTCGACGACCCCGTGAGGTCTTGCTCGCTAGACAGACGAGGGAGAGAGGGACAGACAGCTTGGGCCGCTTGTCCGAGGTCCCAGGGTCACCTGGTGGCGGAGCAGGGACTGGAATCCAGGCCGCCCGACTCCGGAAGTCACGCTCTGACCACTACGCTACCCGGCCTCTCTGCCATTACGCCTTTCCTTGGGGAATCCCCTGACTCCTGGGCTTAAACGGGGTGCCGGGCGCTTGGCTCCCCGCCCGACCTGCTCGCCCCGGCTCCCGCAGCGCATCCCCCTGCCACCCGAACACCTGAACTCACACGGTGAAGACACCTGAGACAGAACACATCCAAACCCGGCTCCCGTGTCCCCACCTCGGCTCGGACACCGACCCTGTCTTTCTAAAAGTCCAAATTCACCGCCACGCGCTGCCGCTTCCTCCTCCCCTGGCTGACCGGGAGACCGTCGCCGCGCCGCGAGCAGGCCGGGTGCACCCTCCGTGCCGCTGTGCGTGGCACCCTGCACGCTACCTGGTCCCCCGCCTGTCTCCCCGGCTGGAACTATGACGGGAGCAGGCGCCGCGTCTTGGTCACGCCACCTCTATTACGTTCGTCGTAAGAGTTGGTTTCGGCTTTAAATGGGGCCTCACGCCCCTTCTCCAGACGAGGAAACCAAGGCCCGGAGAGGCGGCTTGCCTGCAGCTACCGATTTCGGGAGTGGCGGCACTAAAACCGTAATTCACGACCGTCCACCGGCTCGCCGCCTCCCTTCCCGGCGTACGGGCGGCGCCGGCCCAGCGGGGACAGCAGGTTTTTGGCAAATGGACTGTGACTTTGGCATCTTGAAGAAGAACACTCTTTTCAGAGAGTTAGTCTTTACTGCGGTCCGGTCGCAAAATGAGTGGCTACCTGCCCTTTACGAGTCTGAGCCACGTGTGAGATGCACAAACGGGCATTTTCCACGTGTCATTTCACCCAATCCCCGCAACTAGCAAATCGAACAGGTAACTTAATAGAGCCGCAGATCTAGTGGTGGCAGGGCCTGAGGTCTAACCGGGTCTGATTGTCAACCCTGTGCTCTTTCTACCCTGCTCCCGAGAAAGCAGGACTCGCTCGACAAGCCAAGCAAACGTAATGCTGCAAGCTACGCTTACTGTGTCTTTAACCCACTGAAACTTACCTTGGGACGAGTGAAACTTACAACGTAAGCGCGTGGTACTTAGTCTGCAGCTCAAAGCAACGTTTTAAAATTTACCTTCCACGGGACACTTGAATGGCTTTGTGCCCAGGTGGGTTACACTGTGGCCTTTCAGGTGTTCTGCTCTCCTGAATGACTTCCCGCAGCCTTCGACGGGGCAGGGGAACCTCCGGTCATCGTTGTGCTTCCTGCCAGAACAGAAAAACCACGGCGCGGTGATGACTCACACAGCTCACAGGTACAGGTCTCAGAGGTGACTGTTTGTTTAAAACTCCGCAAAATATACCAAACTACAAACCCTCTGCATTTAAGAAAATGATGAGTACGCTTCGGAAAGTCTTCCGTTTTTAGTCCGTGTGAGTATATTCGCAATTTAGCTGCCCCACGGTTAAAAATTCTACTTTGATGGCTAAGCCGACTGCAGAGTCACACACGGAACAATCAGGAGCACTGATCGGGACTAGCTGAGTCCCAAATGTATTGACGAAGCTGCTTCCATTGTTTAGGAATCCCCACGAACAACAAGCTATCCAAGCAACAGAGGGCCACGAGCAGTGTGCACAGAGCACTGGCTGCAATGCTAAAAAGACCTTCTTGGAGGCCAAGGCGGGAGGATTGCTCGAGGTCAGGAGTTCGAGACCAGCCTGAGCAAGAGCGAGACCCCGTCTCTGCTAAAGATAGAAAGAAATTAGCCAAACAACTAAAAAGAGAAAAAATTAGCTGGGCTTGGTGGCGTGCGCCTATAGTCCCAGCTACTCGGGAGGCTGAGGCAGGAGGATCGCTCAAGGTCAGGAGTTCGAGACCAGCCTGGGCAACATAGCGAGACCCTGTCTCTACTAAAAATAGAACGAAATTAGCTGGACAACTAAAAATATACAGAAAAAATTAGCCAGGCATGGTGGCCCATGCCTGTACTCCTGGCTACTCGGGAGGCTGAGGCAGGAGGATCGCTTGAGCCCAGGAGTTGGAGGTTGCTGTGAGCGAGGATGACGCCACGGCACTCTAGCCCGGGCAACACAGTGAGACTCTGTCTCAACAACAACAACAAAAAAGTAAAAACAGAAAGAAAACACATGGAC